AAATAAAACACCAAGACATACATATAGATACAATTATAATTATTCTTTACCTCTTTGTAGGCCCGCATATTTAAAATTATATGGAATTAACGATTATTTACTTTCTACATTACAAAATCATTTACAATCAAATGGTTTAACCGAACGTGTTCATGGAAATTCCAGACGTGCATCTAAAACTGAGTCTAGAGTTTTTTTAGACCTTAACATAACATTACCAATTAAACAGTTTCTAGTGCAATATGGAATGATTCATGGGTTTTCTTCTCCATTATGGCATCAAGATGATTCTGGAGTTTTTATTTATCTTCCTACTGGCCAAATCTACAATTCGGTTTATAATGAATATAAAAAAAATTTTTATCTTATGCATAATGAATCAGAAAAAATTATTTCTTATTTTACGTTTAGAAAATTATAGCTTGAGATGGTTCTTAATCTTTGATTTCAGCCACGTGCAAGTAATCTTTGTGAGGTTTGCACCTCTTTCAAAGCTAAATTGTTGGTCACCAAACAGAATGTTGATGAATATAATAAAGTTCAAGCTGAATATAACGAACATAAAGAGGCTGCAGATCTTGAAAGACAACATTATAATATCAATATTAATGAGAGTAAAAATAACCCGGATGTTGCACATATTTGTTACGATTGGGCGCAAAGTGTTCATATACCATATTTGCCACAACAAGTTGGTTCACTTTATTTTAAATCTCCTTTTTCTGTAAATATTTTTGGTGTTTGCAAAACGGGAGAACAAAATTATCAATTAAATTTTTTAATTGGTGAAAACGAGCTTCCTGAAGGAGTCTCAAAAGGTGCTAATACTACGTTGAATATAGTCTATTACTTTCTTCAAACCAGAAGAGCAAAAAAATTAAGAGTAACTTGTGATAACTGTAGCAGTCAAAATAAAATAATTTATCACTTTGGTTTTGGTTGTGGCTATGTTTATTAGGTTGGTATGAAGAAGTTATCGTTAGTTTTATGATTCCCGGGCATACGAAATTCATTTGCGATTCATTTTTTGGACAAATTAAAAAAGTTTACAGAGATAATCGCATTAATACTATTGATGATATAAAAACTATTGTAAATAATTCATCAAA